CAGGGACACATCTGCTAGTCTTAAAGGAGAAAGGCCAACTGGTAAAACGCTGTGGGGAAGCCTTTGTAAAATGATGACATCAAAAATGTTATTTCTGAGAGTGATTCAGGGAAAATGTAAAAGTCTACACTTGCTTTTGTCTTCCTCATTTCTTATTGTTTCTTACTTGCAGTGCTGAAATTTGGTTCTGCCAGATTCCATCAAACACACAAATTGGGTCGTGAAGAGAAAGCACAGGGTATTATGCCTGGATGATTTTTGGCTCCTCATTAATGGAATCCGAGGATGACTGTAGTCTAAATATCAAGTTTGGATGAGGAAAAGGCTAATGGGACCAAACTGCTAATTTAGGCCCAGGAACATCGGATGTCAATGACAACATGTCAAGGTGGTCTGCTGAAGGGGCTCTTGGAAGCAGGCAGGCCTGGATTTAAATACCAACTCATGAGTTACTCATTGTTATTTTGGGTAAATTTAATTTAATTTCCATGAGAATCTCTTTTTTCTTTTCCACTTGGAAAATAGAGATGAGTTTGTTCCCCTTCAAGATTCATGAGGACAGAGGTGAGATGTCCCTTGCTTTAGATACTCAGTGGTTTCCCTTCAGGATCTTGACCAGGGCACAAAGCTCTGCATGCTTTGACTCCTGCCTCCTTGCCCTGCCGTATTTCATAACATCCCTTTGCTATGTCATGGTGCGTCAGCAGTTCCAGCCTTCTGGCCTCCCACTAGTGCTCAAGGTCATTTCCATTTCAAGGCCTTTCCCTTTGCTGGTCCCTATGCCCTGGCTGCTTTCTCTCTTGTCTGGGCTCCGGCTCTTTGGCCACCTACTCAAACAGAGCTTTCTTGAATGAGGTATCACACACTGTTGCTTACCTCTGTTTGTCTCAGCACTCATCACTGTCTGCTTTAATCTAACTTGCTTTCTCCAGTTCCAGCTCTCTCCATGGAGGATACCGGCCATTAGGGGCTTATATGTCTTGTTCACTAACAAATTACTGACTAGAATAGATTTTGGCACATGATACATCTTAATAAGTATCAGTCAAATGAATAAATGACTAAAGGAATGCCCAGGGCCCAGTGGCTTAACAATGAATGACTGCATTCTATCCTTAGACATATTTAAGTTGATAGTCTGGTCACTGGAAATTATGAGGACTGATATGAGAAATTTATGATCATGAAAGTTTAAAGCAAGCTTTGAAAGGTATATGATATAGTTTGTGTTTTTTTTTGTAAAATGTATAGAAAGATTACTGGAATTGTGTTTACTAACATGAAGGTTTTATGCTCTTGAGTAAGGGGAGATTTCTTAAATTTTGGGTTTTTTTTTTAATCTTTGGATGATATAATCTCAAAAAGCCTCACTGTCCCTTGAAAAACTCAATGACAGTAAAAAATAAAACTCCAGACTTTGCTGTTTATTCTGCAGTTGTTTCCTGTCTCACTCTCTTCTTGATCTATTCATTACTTGCTGCATGTGGGGTCTGGTCACTGTAAATGAACCTCCCACATCAACTTCTGTTTGAGTGTTAGCAGTGGAAAGCATCTATAGAAACATCAGAAGGAAAGGAAGGATTCTGGGGGACCATTACTCTTTGTCTCTGGCATCCTAAGTCTGACAACAGTATGGAAGAGCCCCTTTCTGGAAAGCCCCTCTCCCAAGACGCCAGCTCACAAGCAGCTGCAATTTCATTCTTTTGTTTAATGTCAGAGCAGAGGGGGAGGGGTTTTCCATGTGTCCCAACAGTGCTTTCTGGTTCTTGCTCAGGCCGTTGTTAAGAGTCTCCTGAGTAAAGCCTCTAGGTTGAAACCTGAGTGTGACTTGGCTCTCTGTGCTGCAGAGAAGCAGACTCTGAGAGCAGCCATTGAAGCTCATTTGTGGCATCGATAGATATCCTCACGCAGGTTTCTTCTTTGGATTTCATACAAACACTTCCTGCTGCAGTTTGAGCCCAGTTCCTCTGGTTACATCTCACTTGGAAAGAAATACTGTGTCACTGTTATTCTGTAGCTAACAGAGCTCATGTGCAGGGTAGCACCCTGTGCAGAGAGTTCAGGGCAAGGTCTCCCCCTCCCTGTTGCCTTATTTGCTCTCTTTAAATCAGGAAACTCTTTTCCTTTCTTTTGGGGCATCACGGTAACACATTCTCTCAACAAACCCAGGGTTTTCAGTGTCTATTCATACCCCATAGACGCAAGCCTCTCATTCCTCCTGTTGTGTCTGGCAAGTATTTGGATTAATTGCACACCCTCCAAAGAGGCTGAGCCATCATTTAGCAGAATGTATTAATAAAAGGCTCATTATCTAACGGTTCAGCCTCCATCGGCTCACTCTCATCCTGCCTCTCTGAGGTGGTGAGAAAATTAATGAGGATACTGCGGCATGGCTAACAGACTCTGTGACCCCTTTGACAATTTTGTTCCTGCTGTTCTGCACCTCTCCTCAGCTTTTATGTCACCTTCAGCCTCTAAGTTGATGCAAAGATGGATTGTGACAATAGTTGGTGGGCGGCTGTCAGAACTGACGGTGGATTGTGTGGGAAAATGCATTGAGAGTTTGAGAGCTGATACAATCAACTTAAAGAAAAGTTCTACTTTACAGAGAAATGTCAAGCTGTGTATTTTAATTATGATGCAGTTATAATATATCTTGTGCTTGGGTGACCTGGGCTTGATGAGCTTTAGAACCAGACAATACTCTCCACACTACAAAAGGGGCATGAAAATAATGTGACCTTTTGGAGGATGACTCAGATGGTCCAGTGAGATACAATCAAAAGGGTAACATACTGAGTGACCTGGGCTTCATCCTGAATGTATCCATTCACCTCTTTGGGTTTAGCATCCTTACCTGTAAAGTGTTTTACTAAGGAAGCTGTAAAAATTCTGGTACTGATAAGCACCCTGTGAGGTACTTACTGAAAAGGTGATCAGCCCCCATTGTGAAGAGGAAATCTAGACTCAGGGAGATTGAGAACACTGCCCAAGGTCACATAGCCCACAGTGCTCCACTCCAAACTGTAGGTGTCTCACCACAAGACCATCTCCACGCCTTGCAGACAAATGGAAAATATTAAAATTTGTAGCTCTTTCCAGATAAGGACAATCCTTCAGGTTATAGTTTTGAAGGAGCTTCTGAAGGGCACACATCTGGACTGTAGTACCGCTGGGACAAGAATCCACGACTGCCTGACATGGAAGTTTGAGCACTTTGCCATGTGCTAATTCTTTTTTGTATTTCATTGTTTCTATTGAGCTATGCATTTTTCTCTGTTCCTTTCCCTTTCTCCCCTCTCCTCTTCTACTCTCTCCTGTGGCCCCCACACTCCCAGTTTACTCAGGAAATCTTGTCTTTTTCTGCTTCCTATTTAGATCCATGTATGTTTTCCTTAGGGTCCTTTTGTTGTCTAGGTTCTCTGGGGTTGTGAATTGTAGGATGGTTTTTCTTTGCTTTATGTCTAAAAGCCACTTATGAGTGAGTACACATTCTATTTGTCTTTTGGGGTCTGGGTTACTTCACTCAATTTGTTTTTTTTCTAGTTCCATCTACTTGCCTGCAAATTTCAAGATGTCATTATTTTTTACCGCGTGTAGTAGTCCATTGTGTAAATGTACCACATTTTCTTTATCCATTCTTCAGTTAAGGGGCATATAGGTTGTTTCTAGATTTTGGCTATTATGAATAATGCTGCTACGAACATAGTTGAGCACATGCTTCTGTAAAGCAAAGGACAAGGTCAACAAGAGAAAACAGCAGTCTACAGAATGGGAAAAGATCTTCACCAACCACACATCAGACAGAGGGCTAATCTCCAAAATATACAAAGAACTCAAGAAGCTTGACATCAAAAGAAAAATAATTCAATAAAAAATGGGGTACAGACCTAAACAGAAAACTCTCAACAGACGAATCTCAAATGACTGAAAGACACTTTAAGGAAATGTTCAACATCCTTAGCCATCAGAGAAATGCAAATCAAAACATCTTTGAGATTCCATCTTACACCTGTAAGAATGGCCAAGATTTAAAAAAAAAAAAACACTGATGACAACTTCTGCTGGAGAAATTGTGGGGTAAAGGGAACACTCCTGCATTGCTGGTGGGAGTGCAAGCTGTACAGCCCCTTTGGATATCAGTATGGCGATTTCTCAGAAAATTAGGAAACAATCTACCTCAACCCAGCAATACCACTTTTGAGTATATACCCAAAGGATGCTCAGTCGTACTACAAAAACATGTGCCATGTGCTAATACTATTGATTACAGCCCTTACTGCCACAAAGACTCACAGAGGAGGCAATCATAATAGAACCCAGATTTATATCCAGTAATGAGTAATTTAGGATTACAGCAAACTGAACTTTGTGGTCTAACCTTTTGAAATCTACATGACCAACAAAGAAGCAGGTGGGATTCTGGTGTTTTTTTCTTTTTTGCTTCTTTTTTTTGTCATTTTTTTGGGTTTGTGGGATTTTTGTTTTTGTTTTGTTTTGTTTTTGTTTATTTGTGAGGCTAACCTTTAATGACTGAGTCATCTTTCTATCCCAGGATTCTATTTTTGTACTAACATTTAATAAACCATGTAAGCAAAATGCTAATTTAAAAATATTTCAAAGCTTTCATCAGTATTTTGATATTTGGAGAACATTATACTAAACGAGATAACTCAGCTCCATATAGACAAACATCGTGTAAAATTAATTATGTGTAGAAACAATAACATCAACAAACCCCCAAACAAACAAATTGAGCCCATAGAAATAGAGAATGGAATGATGGTTACTAGAGGTTGGGAAAGTGGGAGCCAAGCAGTGGGGAGTTGTTGGTCAAAGGGAACAAAGATTAGTTTAGATAGAAGAATGTTTCATAGAAGGAGTTCTCTAACCAAAATAATGCATTACAAACTTCAAAATGGACACAAAAGTTTCAAATGTATCAACAGAAATATGTAAGTGAGGCAGAGTACTAATTTGCTTGATTTAATCATTGCACATTTAATACATATATCAAAACATCACATTGCACCCCATAAATGTATATCATTATGATTTATCAATTAAAAATAACATGAATAAATACCAGCATTCTGCAGTTGATCAAACATATATGCAAATAGCAAACACCAAGTGCGCACCATATTAGAATTTATTAGAATACAAACTAGTCCAAACACAATATATTATCTAGTTAAGAAAATAAGAGCATTTACTATTTTACGACAGTAGCCTCCCGTTCCATTTTTGAGCAGTAGTAGTCAACATTAGAGTCCTTAATGCACTTTCAAAGGCTCCCCATATCGGACAAATAGGCACCAACTGTGCAAAAATAACCCTTTTCTATTGCAAGGTTTTTGGAACATGGGTGTTCATGCCTTCACATGGCTTATCCTTTTATGGGTTGTCTGCTGTACCTCTTCTTTCCTTCCCCAAGCCTCCAGTTGCTAAGGAAAAGACTTGGCATGTACATGTATGGCACTGTCACCATGTTCAAGGACACAAATCATACAGCAATGGAGGTGATAGTGAACAGTCTTTGAAAGAAGCACCACAAAAACCCAGGCTAAGGGGCTTGCCCTTAGCATCAGCTGTTTATGTGACAGGCTTCAATAGTCAAGGCTTCGTTTCCAAACCTGGCCAGAATGAAAAGGCTTATAATTTTTTAAGTTAAAAAGAACTTCACCATTGTCCATTATTATTATTATCAATAATAAAATGAATTTCCCCTCTGTGACCATAAATAAACTTAAACTTTAGGTGATATATATATATATGTATATATATACATATATATCTTTTGGGTTAGGTTGATTGTATATATTTATATTTATTTATATCAACCTAACCCATGTGCATTTTAAACAGAAGATGCAGCAGCAACTCTCTGGAGTGCCTTCATGGATTAGCTTAAAAGAGAAATAGAAAATGTAGTCAGAAAAGAGAGAGGCTGCCATCCTACCTGGTAGAACCTCTACTGTTAAGAAAAGTAGTAAATGAGTGTCTGGGGAAAGCATTCCCAGGTGAAACACAGCTTTTAAGCAATTAATTGTTTTCAGTACAATTAAAACCACAGAGCAGACAGTGTTGAGAGTCAGAGGCTCACTCTCCACCTTGTGTACGTCCTCAAAAAGGAATCGCTTGACTTTTAAATATATTGCACTTTGAATTACGTATGTATAGCTCAAACTAACATTTTCAGAGATATGCACTTTAAAAATAAATAAACACACACATATATATAATACATATTCAGCATAGGTAGCCTTTGGTCAGTGTTTACTTATGGGGGTGCCGTGGAATTGGTTCATACACACAGCTAATGAACATACATTCAGTTGTACATGCTCGGGGAGGAAGAAATGCAATTCAAGAGATGTGGGGGATTTTGCTCACATTTCACTGACTGAACATATGCTCTGGGGGGCAAGCGAGATGGAAGCTAGGACTCTGCTGCTCCCTCACGTGGATAACTTCTGCAAACTCTTCAGGGGTCGTGGCTTGCTGCATCCAGGTCCCGATGTTCTCAGACACACCCCGATGATGCAACACATTCCCTAAACACCAGCTGACTATTGTCGTCAACCACAGTATCAGTAACCTGTCCCAACACTGGAGAAAAATGTAGCTTCTTGGGTGTTCAAAGGTCCTCTTTCCCAAGGGACTATGCACAGGAACCACGGCCCCATGAGGTCATTCTCTTTTGCATTGACTTTTGAATCTAACCATAGGGTCTGGTGAGACTCTTGCATAAGCCGTTTTAAAGGGATAAAAACTAACACCATCAGGAACAATACAATCCCAAACCACACTGAGTTAGTACTGAAGGGCCTTGGCCAAAGTTTAGCACTTGTGTTGGCCCAGGGACCTTTTCATCCCATTCCATTGCTGAGGAACCCCTTAAGATGACAGAGACATGCCTTCCAACTCGGAGAAAATGCAATAAAAATCAAGCCTATGGAACCAAGTGGTCCAGGTAACTATGTTTAATTTGGTCACCAAAATGTCATGCAGTTTCAAAATCATTTTGGAAGATTTCTTCCAAACCAGGAATGGGTTTAAATACTGGGAATCTGGAAAAGGGACACAAATAAAATGCCAAACAATAGGGACTCTAGCATGAATATTCCCTTTAAAGGGCGCCACAGGCCCAGTTTAATATACTCAGGTCTATATGTGTGCACTCTATGTCTGCACATAGACAGGGTAATTCTCAGGGCAAGCCCTATCCACTGCATCCTAGATTTGTTCTTACAAATCTAGGCAAAGGGAGGATAATAAATTTTTTTTTATCACCTATGAAAAGCATCTGAGTTTGATAACAGGCACCACCTGACTGAGTCACTTACAACAAAGGACAGACCAATAGTTGGCACAGTCACCCCTCCATGAAAGTTGTGTCTGTATTTAGGGTCTTCTACGGCCATGCCAGCTTGGGCTGTGGTGGGATCTAGGCAGCCCTTCTCAACAGAAGAGTTACAGTTTCTGACCCCTGGACTAGTATCTCCGGTTAAGGAGTCACTTCATGGAAAGCATTTGCCGAGGGCTTGAGCAAGCAAGGATGCAGGGCTAAGAACTTGACACACAGAAGGCGTCTCCGGGAAGTGTGTGCAGTGCTCTAGCAAGAAGTGATGTTGGATGCAAATATCACATACAGCTCACACAGGGATGAGTTGAAACAGAGGCAAGAGTGGGCTTGATTTTTTTGTTTTTCTGGGCTCAAGAATTCCTCCTTCCCCCTACACACCAGGCAGGGTCTTTGTTTTAGAGGAGACATAAAAAAGATCTACACATTATGGCAAATAGAAAACTATACCTTAGACGCCAGGTCTAAGGGACATAGTCATGTTTGTTTGGAACCTCCCCATAGACATTCCAGGGACAGTTTGGATGATACTTGACACTTCCCTCTCCCCACGCTGTCATTCTGCAGCCAGAGTTGCTAGGGTCACTGGGAGAACACAACCCTTTCTAGGACAAAGGGTATCTTGGAAAAAAAAAATCCCAAATCAGTCAATCCTGTTGGCTGCTGGAAATAGTACAGGGAATCAATGGGTAACCTCAACTCTTGGGAGAAGAGTATGGCTCAGCTACACACTGTGGTGGCTTGGTGGACCACAATTGGAGCGGTTGGTTCCTAGTAGCTGTAGATGGTACCAGCAATAACTACTCTACTGTGGTCTTTATTGGTCACGGTATTATGGCATTTATAACATTTATAACTGCCAATGGCATCTTTAAGCCAGCAGGCACCGTGACTACCTTTGTGAATTTGTGAAAATAAGTGCACGAAGAAAAACAAGATGTATTCTCTCCTTCCTTCTCTTTCCTCTTCTCATCCTGCCAGTCTGAGAGCTGCGCAGTCTGTGGAGAGAGGAAATCAGGTTAGCACTCTTAAGGAGAGCTGTTCAAGCCAGAGCATGGGACAACCTCTCATCTGGAAACAGATTACACAAAAGGCACAAGTGCCAGCCCTATAGGGTCATGGAGACACTTTTATAGGTTTTCCGTGTTTGTCGTACTGGTACACCAGCATCTTGATGCAGTGTGAGTTTGCTGGAGAGATCCAGGGACTACTTGTTATGGAAAAGTTATGGTTGGTGTAGAACTGCACAGGCTGCTTCTGGCACTTGAACAAGGCCTTGAGTGTAGCCGCTGCCATGGTGCGGAACCGTTTGCTGATAAAGCAGTAGAGGAAGAAGTTGATGGCTGTGTTCAGAAGGGCCAGCATGTTGGCGACATCCAGCATGATGTGAACCAGCCAAGGGTTCTGGATGGGCGATCCATAGAGGTGGTAGAGAATCATGATGATGCGGGGGGCCCAGAGGGTGGCAAAGATGGAGGTGATGGTGAACAAGATGGCAGTGGTCTTCCCTGTGGAATAGCCACGGAGGCGGAAGTTGCTCTTCCTCCTGAGCTTGTACACAATGATTGAGTTCAAGATGAAGAAGATGGAGCAGGGCACCAGGTACACAGTGAAGCAGTGGATCCAGACAAGGACATGATGCATGGAGGTGCTGGTGTAGTCTTCAGTCCAGATGTTAGGCCACCAGTAGTAGGGGATGCTGGTCAGGAAGCAGGTGATGTAAACACTCACAATGACTTTTCGGGTCCTGGCTGGGTAGGAAACGGTGTGGTATTTGAGTGGGTGACAGACAGCGATATATCTGTCAACAGTTAAGGGGACTGTAATCCAAATGGAGGTGTGGATGGAGGAGAACTCCAGCACTTCTATAATCTTGTCAGGGATCTGGGGCATCTGCATGCTCAGAATGAAGTCTTCTAACAGGAAATCCACGAAGACGATGAAAAAGAGGACCAAGATGTCTGCAGCAGCAAGTGCCAGCAGATAGTTGTAGGAGGACTTCTGTCTCCTGGCCACTAGTTGAGAGAGGATGATGACTGTCAAGATATTTGCTGTGGATATAAGAGAATCAAGGTCAAACCCAAGGCAGAGTTGACTGTTGGCTACTAGTGAGGGCCTGGGCTTGAGGTTTCTAGGGTGCTCCAATACTGCCAAAGGATCAAATAAGTGTTTCTGTGGGACACTCAGCACCACAAATCACACCTCAAATGGACAGCTGGATACAATATGATTATATATACTCATGTACCTCCTGCAGCTGTGAGAGGTAATGCTGATATCACCCAACTATAGGTGTGAAAATGGATCCCTGAGTGTTCAGGACACTCGGTGTTGCATCCCTGAACCTCCATTCTCATTGTCTGTCTGACTGACTTGTGGAAATCTGGGTGTGATGGTTAATGTTGATCACCAACTTGGCAGGGTCTAGAATCTACCAGGAGACAAGCCTACAGACGTATCTGTGAAGGAGAACTTGACTGAATTTATTGAGATAGGAAGGCCCACCCTAAAAGTGGGGGCACTGTTCCTTTGACTAGAATCCTGGACCAAATACAAAGGAAAAAGCTAGCTGAGCATAAGCGTTCATCTCTCTCTACTTTCCAACTGTGGACACAATGTGACTGGCAGTCTCTTGCTTCCGCTGCCATGACTTTCCCTCCATGACAGGTTGGACCCTCAAAGTGTGGGCCAAAAGCAAACCCTTCCTCCTTCCAGTTATCTTTTTTTCAGGCAATTTATTACAGCAACAAGACAAGTGAGTGATTCAATGGGGCTAGGAAGCCTTTGCCTCCAAGGTGCCTGAGCTGCACACCTTCCTTGTTGTGGGGCTGGGAACAGAACTCAAGATTTTTGCGTATTGACAAATGCCCTGCCACTTGGCTACATCTTCAGCAGCATGACTTCTTAAGAACTTTCATGACACTTATATTCTAGGACCTTCTTTTCAGTGCTTTTTTTTTTTTATTTTTATTTTTTTTTCCTTCTTTTTTTTTATTGAGAATAAGAAAAAAAAGTTTCCACCTCCTCCCAGCCTCCCATTTCCCTCCCCCTCCCCCCAATCTTCTCCCCCTCCCCCCTCTCTTCTCCCCCTCCCCCCT